TAGAAAGTTTATGTGTTTCTTCGATTGGAAAGTAGAAAGAATGAAACGAATAACAACGTTCGTTAGGAAAAAGAAAGGGATAACAAAAAAAAAAAAAAAAGCAGAAATATCTATATTTCTACGAGGCAAAAAAAAAAAAATAGCAATTTTTTTTTTAGTTTAGGTATTTACCAAGCTAGAAATGTAATCGTAGACGCGTGCGATTTTTCCGTAAAAAGTGCTAGCAAAGTAAGTACATTACGAGGAGGTTGGTCTTTTACTCGTCCTCCTCGAGCCGACGTCGATTTCCTCTTTTAGACCTAACCGACACACGATCGATTTCATCAAACGCAATTTTATCTCGAAGATGTACTCGCCATTAACTTGAGTTTCGCAATCTCCCCTTAGATCCGACGCATCTTTATTCTACGGTTTGTCTATCTCTTACTTCAAAACGAAATATATTATACTTTTAAACTAATCCTATTACATCGAGGATTTAATCTAACTTACAATTTTATAATCCGTTTGGTAGAAAGTATTCGTCAAAAGTAATATAAACTTTTTATTATTATTTACACCATTTTATAATTGGAAAAGAAAAAAAAGAAATACAATTTATGAATGAATTATTTAAGAAATCTCTTATTTATTTCTTATAAATATATTCTTCAATCGAAAAATATTGATCTCTTTCACATGGCGTTGAAATTAAAATCTTCTCAACGAAATAATAATGAAATATTAAAAGCCCAATTGAAAAAACTCAAATTACAAATCAATGTTAAGAAAAAATTTACTTTTTATCCTACACTATTCGTTATCCACAAAAATGTCAATTAAATTCTCAAACACGATAGATAAGAATAATAAAGATATATAAGAGTTCATTTAATTGTAACGAATAGAGAAAGGATCTCAATGATTCAATAAATGTATCGTTAAAAAGAAAAAAGAAAAAGAAAGCACACAGAAAACAGAAATAAAGGGTGGGTGTAAAAGAGAAAGAATGAATGAGTGAGAGAGAGAGTTAAGGTTGTGGGTCTCCTAATTGGAAACAAGTGGTAGCCTTAAACTTAATTGTGCCCTAAGAATTGGCCAACTTCGATGTAACCTAAGCGCGTGTTCCTCTACAGGTATATGGTGGTCGATTGCATCATTGTCGACCTTTTACCGCCTCAGCAGTAGAGCGCGAAGATAATTGTAGTGCCTAGAAGAAGATGAACAAGAGAGAGAGAGAGAGAGAGGGAAAAAGTAAGACAGATAGAGAAAGATAGAAGAAGAAGAAGAAGGATAAGAAGAAGAAGAAGAAGAAGAGTCCTCGTATATACATCGATACAACCAAGAAACTTTAACACGAAGCGGAATTATAAAAGAAACCATGTTGCTCTTTCATTTTATCTCTCTTTCTTTCTTTCTTCCTTTCTTTCTTTTTTATTTACCGTCTACCGTCTGCTTGCTTTTTCTCCGAGCAAACAGAGAGACACATCCTGGACAGACCTTGCAAGCCTTTTCTCTGGAACCATCTTACGCAATCGGAAGAAGAAGAAGAAGA